TCTCCTCAGGGTCCACTGTGGGTATAACTGCCAGCTCTCTGGGCTCTGCATGGCATTACACTCTATCCAGTCCAGTAAAGCCTGCAAACTGGGGCACGAGGCCAAGCAAGATTATGTCATCCTATATGGGATTTATGTGCATGGTGGTGGCCGCAAGTACTCAGTTCCTAAGGTTACATCCTATGGCAAACCTGTCCATCACAGTGCTAACCAGCTGAATGAAGTTTTTACAAAGCCTTCAACCTGCTGCCAAGGAATGAGCTGGATACTACTGTAGTCAGAATTGCCTCACTGATCCATTCCATAAAGCTGTCAGAAGCAATTCTGGCACCCAGCGAATCACCAAACCAGGCCACAAGCACGGGCTGACATCCACAGGCGACAGGAATAGTGGCCTTTAGAAGGGCTACCAGGACCACACCATGGTTGATTCCTGCTGTGCAGCCTGGGGAAGGCCCAATCCCTTCCAGCTGCACCATCATCATGCACCATCAGCATCAACACCAGCAACATTCATGAAACCCATACCTCATTAAACCATTTAAGACAGTCAAAAAAATAGCAAATGATTTTTAAACGTATCAAAACATCATTGTACTATAGAGCTATTCATACAAAAATAGAGAAATTGAGCCAAAAATACATCCCAGAAACAGTAACTTATATAGAAGAATTTAGTATATAATAAAAGCCTAAAAGAAATCAATGAAGAATTAAAGTTACTGGATAAATATATGGGGACAATTGCTATCTATCTGAAAGCCAAATCACATCAGATCCTTTATGCATGTGAAAATAAAATCCCTGGGCCTGGTGCAATGACTCAATGGCTAAATCCTCATCTTGCACATGCCAGGATCCCATACAGTCTCCAGTTTGTGTCCCAGCTACTCCACTTCCCATCCAGCTTTCTGCTTTTGGCCTGGGAAAGCAGTAGAGGATGGTTCAAGTCCTTGAACCCCTACACCCATGTGGGAGACCGGAAGGAAAATCCTGGCTCCTGGATCAGATCAGCTCTGGCCGTTGTGGCCAGTGGGGAATAAACCAGTGGATGGAAGAGCTTTCTGTCTCTTCTTCTCTCCATAAATCATATCTGCCTTTCCAATAAAAATAAATCTTTTAGAAAGAAAGAAAATTCCAGCAGGTTGGAGTTGGGGCATAGTGCTCTCAGCTGCTGCTTATAATCCTACATAGGAGTGCCAGTTAAAGACTTGGATGGTCACTTTCTAACCCAGCCCCCTGCTAATATTCCCAGGAAGACAGCAGAAAATGCCCAATCACTTGAGCCCCTGCATCCATATAGGAGATCCTGGATAGAATTCCTATCTCCTGGCTTGCACTTGTCCCAGCCTCAGCCAGGAGCCAGCAGATAGAAGATTTTCTCTCCCTCCTCCCTCCTCTCTTGCGTAGCAAGAAAAGTACCGGCAAGCAGCAAGCTAAGAAAAGATAGCACAACAAATCTGCAATTAATACACTAAGTTTATAAGTTTGTGGATAAACTTACAATATACTAGGAATAATAGAAAAATCCAAACAGTTTGATGACAAAAATATGCAAATAGCCCATTTATGAATGAGGAAATTATATGAGCTGGGTCAATTCAAAGCCAGGAGTTTCTTCTGTCTCCCACATCAGGGTAGGGGCCCAAGCATTTGAACCATCTTCTGTTTTCCCAGGTCATAAGCAAGGAACTGGGTCAGACATGAAACAGCCAGGACACAAACCAGTGCCCATAAAAGATCCAGCACCACAGGCAGAGGTTTAGCTTACTATGCCACAACTCCAGCCACAATATTGAATTATTAATCACAGAAACATAAAAGAGAATATAAATACAAATCAAAGAATACAAAATTGGGTGCTTTCGTATAGTAGATAAATCTTCTGTCTTAATGTCAACATCCTACATGAGTACCAGCTTGTGGCCCAGTTGTTTCATTTCCATTCCAGCTCCCTTTCAACATGCCTGGGAAAAGTAGTGGAATATGGTCAAGTGTTTAGACCCCTGCCACCCACATGGGAGGGTTTGGATGAAATTCCTAGCTCCTGGCTTTGGCCTAGTTCAGTGCCAGCTGTTATGACCATCTGCGGAGTGAACAGCAGATAGAGGGTTCTCTGTTACTCTAATACACACACACACACACACACACACACACACACACCCCTTTCTCTCACCTCCTCCACCCACTTCTTACTTTCAAAATAAGCCTTTACAAATATGCATTACTTGGTTAATGGGAACAAACAAAAAGAGAATAAGAGGCGATTCTGAGCAAGCCATGGCATCTCTGCATGTTTGTTAGCTATACCTTGCTTTTCAGAAGGACAGGATACCATTTACATTGTCATATCTATTGCATAAGTGTTTTGGCTTAAAATGAACACAGTGCTTATTTCAAAATAGAATTTGATTTAGTAATTACAGTGGCAGTATCAAAAAGAGTGAATGAAATATTGATATTTATCAAGAGGAACACATGGTTCAAAAAGATACATAAAAGAGTTGACAAAAGTGAACGTGTGTCTGCCCTCTGCAGGACCTTATGTCTATCACCCGAACGATCTCACAACACTTGGAAGCCACCAGATACCACTCAACAGGCACAGTAAGGAACACCCAATGTGCCGACTATTCTCTGTCACTTTATGAGGAGGATTGCGTGAAGAACAAAGAGTCCCAAAATCCACATGATTATATCTGACAATCAAATTTCCCACCTGTTTAAGTTTATTCCTTGTATAGTTCTGGCCTACATCGGCAAATGGCACCAGTTGTCCTTCGCTTTTAGAGTTTTCACTTACAGCAATCTCAATATAAGCATTATGGATCCTGTTTTACAAATCTGGAAACTAAGGCCTGCAGAAATTTGAGTGGCTTCATTTAAATTCCCTCAAGGCCTCCCCATATCAGATCAAGCTCTTTGTAGTACAAAGCAGAATTTCCTTCTATAGTTCATTTTTTAATTATGAAATATTTGCTGACTGTCTATCATGTACCAGGCTATATTGCTAGGACTGGAGACAATGTTCCTTGCCCATATGGAAGCACATTTTTTTTTTCAGAAGAGCCCAGCAGTAAGATTAAGTAACCATTCGCATATCTGATCTTTCTACCTCCTGGAAGAAAAAGTATGTAACTGGAACAGGAGAGGGCATGGACAGTGGTTAGGGCTGTCACGGAAGTGCTCTCTGAAGGAAGGGTTATTTGTACAAACCTGCAAATCTCATTTTTGGCAGAAGGAGCATTAAGGGCCAAAATCTTAAACAGAAAGCATACTTGGAGAGCTTCAGAATGATCCAGGAGAGCAGCAAGGGTGAAGCTTTAGCTGTACCTTACCACATACCATCCCTTGATCTTTCCGCCCCCTGCCCATGCTTCTCCTGGGCCTTCCTTCTTTCGCTCTGGGTTAAGAAGTGCATTACCTCCTTTTGCTTGTTTCCCTGAAGCAGTCCCTTTAACCTCCCACTCACTCCACTCTCTTCTTTTGATAACAGCCCACTTGTAAAGAAATAACCAATGTTTGAAGATGATTATCCTATGTATCTTGATTTGAATATTATGTGATAAATTGCATGTACTGAAATACATGCTATCATATGCGTTTATACAACATGAACATATCAGTTAAAATTTTGAAGGAAGGTTTAATTTAAAAAAGAAAGGAGTATCTAAGAATCCTAGTTTTCATTGCCCTTTCCTGGTTTTACTCAAGAAAAAATAATATCAGGAAAACATAGAGCTGCGAGCTCAAGAAATCCAATAGCTTCTGTGCATTCCCTTCAGGGCCCTGATAAGTGTATTTGGTAAAATCTGAAAACTGCTACTAATAAGACTTGAACATTTTTTAAACCTGTAGAATACTGGTGTCTTCATGGGTTATTTTATCCCATTGATGACAATGTTTGAGCTAGATTCTTCCTTGGAAATGCCCCCAGGAATACTACCAAGTTACCGCCTAAAAACAAAAGCATGTGTTAATAATGGTAATACCAATAGTTCATTTCCACTAAACAGTTACTATGTGTCATTTTCAGCATTACTTTTTACATGCATTATATATGGCATGGAATCACCACAGTACTATGAGGCAGGAAATACAATGAATCCTATTAAACAGATGAGAAAATCAAAGGAATGAGTTACTCTTTTGTCAGAGCCACAAGCCCAGCACCTCACTGGCACCAAATTTAGTTCTGAAAGCTCTGTGCCTCAGAAGCCCTGGAACAAAGAAGCAGGTGCATCTGATTCAAAATGGGGCATTCAGACCAAGACGCGCTTAGACAAAGGCAAAGCTGAATCATGACAACGGTGTTTTCCCGCTGTCATCACTCCCAGCTTTCACCGAGGAGGGTCTTGTTTCTGAAACCTCCTGCCCCCTCCACAACTCTAAAGCTGAGCCAGAGCAGCAGTTTTACTCACACACACTCACTCTCCCCCCACCTCCCACCATCCTGACCTAACTGGTCACTGCCTTCTTACAGTAATGGACTCTGCCCTTAGTCAGCCTCTTCTCCCTGAATCTGATGTTCTTGCTTTGGAACGGCTCTTCAAAACTGAGTCAAGAAAAGCCTTTTCTACCTTCCAGAGTTGGGGGATCCAACACTGGTTGTCCCACCATTCCAGAGCTGTATCTTGCTACCCTCAATTAAATGTCAAAATAGAAGCCAGGAGCACGGTTCTCACAGCAAAGGTTAAGTTTTTGGCCCATGTGTTCCCCACCCTTAAGGATATGTTCTGAAGTGGCTCCCAAAATGCCCTAGCAAAGGTCCTTCTTGGGAGGTGGCAGCCAAGGAGTGAAATCTCCAGTGAGACACTTAGGCCAACATGGGACCTGAGGTAGAAGCCTCCGGGCCATGGAGTAGGAGAGATCCCAATGAACACCTGCCCACCTTGACCTCAGCCCAATTGCTCCCTCCCCATCCCCATGCCCACTGTCCATGCTCAGCACAGGCCCAGGTCCTATTTGCAGGTGGGCTGCTAGCACCACAATGTACTCACAGCACACACAAGCAGTACACGCCCGGGACGCTCTCACTGTCCCTCAGCAAATAGCTGCCATCCAGCCCAGTGGCAAGCAGGAGCTTCTCGCCGGTCTCCCTGCTGATTTTGCCATGATACACAGCTACGGCATCCATGGCCCCGTGGGCAGGCTGAGGTCGCAGATGCTACTTGAGTAATGACAGCTACTGCAGGCAGGCACAAGTCAGCCACCTGACTCCCAGTTCAGCTAGATGTGCAAAAAGAAAGAGAAGCACCCGAACAACAGGATGTTGTCTACCTGCCTAAAAACCTCCTTCTCACACTTCAATTAAAACCAGCTCAGCAACTTGACAGCTTGGTTCTGTCAAACACACCACTGGGTGTGGTTCCCCGTCCCCCATCCAACCCAAGCCCAGGGCTCCTATGAAGCATGCAGCCTTGGAAAAAGGACCTTGCCTGTTTGGGGCTGTACCGCCAATGCAGACTCTCACAAACAGGCAAGAATGCTTGGTAATGCTTCTGTCCTTGCATTTTCCCCCCATGAGGCCACTAGAAATGACTTCACCTACCTGGTCTACAAAGCAGTTGATGATAAAGGCAACTTGCACTTTTCTTGCAGGGCAGAGATTTACTGAAGACAATGCAAGGGCTAAAAGCTCTGAGACCAAAACACCGAAACTAACAGTACCGTCCATATTCAACTACTATCAACCACGGCCGTGAGGCTCCTGCAAAATCAAAAAAAGCAGGTGAACAACGGACTCTGGGAAATTTCTTCTTCTGCCTCACTTCCTCTGGTTATTCCCTCTGGTTCTGTGTAAATACTGATTTTTTTTTCTAATACTATATCCAAGAGCCCTAAGAGGTGGATGATTTAAAAAAAATGGGGGATGGGGGCAGTTGCCTAGTGGCTAAATCCTTACCTTGCATGTACTGGGATCCCATATGGGAGACGGTTTATCCTGGCTGTTCCACTTCCCATCCAGCTCCCTTACTGTGACCTGGGAAAACAGTTGAGGATAGGCCAAAGCCTTGGGACCCTGCACCTACGTGGGAGACCTGGAAAAAGCTCCTGGCCCTGGCTTTGGACCAGTTGAATTTCGGGCATTTCAGCCACTTGGGGAGTTAACCAGTAGAAGGATCTTTCTATCTCTCCTTCTCTTTGTGAATCTGCCCTTCCAATAGAAATAAATCAATTAAAAAAAAAAACAGCATTCCCAAAGAAAGTCCAGATTTTGCTATCTGATTGACCTCAGAAAGGAGAACAAATCATTGACTTGGGTTGTCATTATGTGGATTTGACTTTGTCCTCCAGTATGGAGGACTCACCTTTCAGCATCTTAGCCATAAAACTTGTTTTACATAATTTTACCAGTATTGCTAATTTTTGTTGTAACTTGTTATTTCTTGAAAATGGTTTGTTCCTCAACTGATATTTAGCTACCTCTGAAATAAAGCATTTATTCTATTTCAAAATATGCTAAGTAATATTTCCCAAAAACTTCCTCCAACCTCACCAGACATTGTTTAATGCCTGAAGCTCACCAGTCTGACGCGTTCCTATAAATTAAGTAAAATACTTTTAGACTTGGAATTCAAAGACTGAAGTTATGTTATTTGTTGTATGCCTTCAACAATTTTAGCACCTATTCCTTTAAGAATGGTGGCTGGGTTGGGAGCCTATTAGGGAGCAGGGATATCTAAATTCTCATATCTTATCCAGTGGCTTAGATGCCCAGAGCCAAAGGTAGATATTTTCGATCGACCTACGATAGCTGAGAGCAACTATCTTGGATTTCAGTGATAGCTGGTAGCAACTGTCCTTCCTTGATCAAAGAGTGTCCAGCCTCAGTAGCTAAATTATAATGTTTGTTTCCTGCAGTCATTTGAACACTAAGGATAACTGAAACAAACAAACAAACAAAAGACAGCATTCAAAGTGACATCTGGAGATGACTGTGGGGAATTGAACCATGATCATCTCATCATCCCACTGCATGTGTCTATAACCAACTTCATTCTCACCCCTTATCAGGCTCTGAGTCAAGGAAGAAATTGATCTGCAACATGAAGCACACTTCAGTGTTAATGACTTCAGTGCACCCTGGACTCCGTTTTTAGTAGGCTAGCCAGAGAAAATCCCAATGGTGAAATTCCAAATATGAAAGAAAACAGAGAAGGGGAACGACTTATATCAGTCCTTATGGACAACAGACCATCTGTGGGTACACTGTGATAACATTTGATGTGATATAGATCAAAACAAAATCTAATTTTTCTTTTTTTGTCTCTGAACAGTTCTGAACAAATCCACAAACTTGGGAATAGAGCAACCTGGATTTGACAGGACAAGTGTACCGTATGTTCTTGTTCTGTTTTGTTCTGTGTTGCTAAAATAGCATACCTGTCAAAGCAGGGGGTTCAGCACAACTGAAATCATGTTTGGAAAAAGTAGATAAATTATCATGTAATAGTACAACTTTCACATCCAATACATCACTGTCATTTCACAAGCAAGCTGACAGCTAAGCCAACCCACTAGTGCAGTGTTGATGAAAAATACTGACAGCATCACTCTAGTGCTACACCAGTACTAAGCCTGACTTTAGCAAATTTAAAATTTCACACTGAGCTTAAAGTGTAAATTAAAAAGGGAAATGAAATGGCTGTTTTCCTGCTCTTCCCCTGTATGCACAAGAAAAGGGGGGTGGGGTGGGAAATGAAAGAGCAGAACAATGGAGATAGCTACACAAAGCAAAAGGAATAGGCTAGAAGTATAAACATGTATCACTTAGGAGCAAAATCATCTGCTATGTTTGTCTCACTCATTAGAAAATAATGTCTATGATGCCTGGCACATGGTAGATGTAACATATGCTGAGTAAATGAATGAATGGTTTTAATTAATGCTCTTAGAAAAATAAAGTATAATAGGGGCTGGCATTGCGCCACATGGGGTTAAACCGCCACTTGTAGCACTGGCTTATCCACTCCCCATTCAGCTCCCTACTAATATTGCTCAGAGCCCAGCAGTTGGTCCACATACTTGGGCCCTTGCTAGCCATGAAGGAAGCCTGGATGGAGTTCCAGTCTCCATACTTCGGCCTAGCCCAGTCCTGGCTATCGTGAGAATCTAGGAAGTAAACCAGAAGATGGAAGATGTGTATGTGAACACATCACTCTGCATTTCAAATAACTTACAAAAATTATATCAAATAGTCTTTTACACCACACACACACAGTTTCTAAAAGTCTCTAGCCCACCTTTGAAATGGCAAATTGAATTGAAAGGAACACTGGATCAGTAATTATGAGAGTTGAATTAATTATACTGTTTTGCAACTAAGTCACTTCCTCTGAGCCTCATTTTTCCTATTAAATGGAGTTCAACCAGATGACCCCTTAAGTCACTTGCACAAGTAATACTGTGTGCTTTACTATCAAATATGCTTTAGAGAGAAACAGGAAAAATGGATTGAAATTAAATTCATTTTTGTGAAAGCAAGATTTGTTTCCTAAAGCCTCATTCAATAGGGAAAATATTTTTCTTCTTGTTTTGGAAAAGCCTAAAAACTGTAGTGCACATGAAGAGAGTTTCACAGTTTAAAGGAAACTACGACCTTTTGGGATATAGATGCCATTTAAATCAAATATAAAAGCAGTGCAAGTTAGAGGAGCTGTCAACCAAGTTTCAAAGTATCTTCTCATCTAAACTTGTCAGTACCCGAAGTCTCTGAGAGATGACAAAATATTACATGTGGATGCCGTGTCTGAGGTGTTAATTGTTTTTGTTTCAAATGCCCTAGACTGTCCTCAAGCCCAGGTAGATTAAACGAAGGATGCCAAGGGTATTCGGGTTTCTGGAGTGGATCTGACATTTTAAAATCTTTTCTTTAACCTCTCAACACTAACTTTCTTCTTCCACTAAATTACCTATAGGTGTGAATTCTCCCATGACAGTGTTATGGTAATGTCATCTGTGATGGGTTTACACATTCTCAGTACTTAATAAAATTCACTTCCTGTTACAGATAGAAAATAAGTGCAACGTATTTTTAAAATAATGGCACATTCTTTCAATAATATCTGGTTTAACTACAAGGCCACTTTCTCATAATGCCTTCTTACAAGAAACCAGAGAAAGGATTGTTGTATTTAAGCCTGTTTTAAGTGCATTATTCTTTCAGTCAACATGTATGAGTATCTACTATATGGCAGACACTGTTGTAGATACTTAGATTAAAAAACAGTACCTGTCCTCAAGTAGCTCATAGTCTACAGAATAAAACAATTAAGAATTGTGATACAGGAAAGGGGAGGGACCTAGGTACATAGCAGTGGCATGACTGACTCAGTTTATGTTATAAATGTGCATGGTCTTTTCTGAAAACTTTCACCTGTTCTGTATAGTTCCATTACCTGATCAAATTTTACCTTCTTCATGACTCAGAAAGCACCCATTTCTTTCCACAATAACAATAACTAAGATTTGGTAATGGCATACTACATTCCAGACATCTTGCTAAGTACTACAAATATATAATCATAGTTATGTCAACAACCTTATGAAGCAAACACTGCTATCATACTCATTTTTAGTAACAAAGGAGTCAAAACTCAGAGAACCTAGGGTGGCATGCTCCAGGTGGCAGAACTTTTCAGTCCTAGGATTTCAACACAGGCCACTGACTACTTACTATCTAGCAACTGTAATGTTGACCTCTAGAATATTCTTCTTATACTTTCAAGTGGTAGTTGTTGCATACTGAGCATACCTGTGTATAACATGAAATGGTATCTAATGTGTCTTATTAGCTCTGATTTCTTGTTTTAGCCTGGATCTCTTTGATTATTACAAATCTAAAGGGTCTTTACAGCCAACTCATCTAGGCCAGCAGAGGATGGCAAGCAGAACAGGTTAGATCACTCCTGGCCAAGCTTTGCAGCAAGTCTCTGGGTCTACTGATGCACAAGGAGGTAAATTTGGTCATCCAAAATACCTGGGAAAGATTTTCTTAATCTTGATGCAATGAAGCCAACAATGTCTCAGAACTATCAAAACCACTTAGACCCTGAATATTCTTCCCACAGTGGGGTTCTTACCTAAGGCATCACCAAATGACTGCTCCCAGCCCTGGGTACTGATGTAGTTTAACAGCAAGAAGCAGTCAGTCTCCTCCTCTCTCCCACCCCTCAGCAGATCAGGAGCATAAAAAACTGAAATGTGTGTCCTACCCACCTTCCTCCATACCTGGACCCTCCCTACCCTAATCAGAGGCCCACATAGGGGTGCATCCCTCTCAGCTATGTAAAAAATATTAAAAATAAAATTCA